GGGTGGCTGGGGCGACAGGGGTGCTGGTGGGGTCTATTGGATGGTTCTTGTCATTGATCAGGACTCCCTCTTGGAGGAAGCTGTGCGCACTTCAGTGGAATTGGAAAACTGAGTTATATGGATTCATCTTGTATGCTACGAACTAAACTCACGCACACGAACCAGCGTGGTCGTCCGTCGATGGCTTGATTGAACTTGGTCATACAAAATGGTAAATCATTGAGAGACCATGGTGATGGCTAGAAGATGCCGCAACATCATCTTCTACGCCTGTCTGGTCGTGGAACTAGGCCACAGGACCAGAACAGTCATGAACATCTACTGGTGTCATTCAGCACCGCCATCGATCTCTCGTTTGCATATTGCGTTCTATTCAACGTGGCTGATCAAACTGCACAGGACGGTTCCATCCATCAGTGGACGTCGGTCGGGTAGGGACTTCATCTTGACCATCCGTTTGTTTCCGAGTCCAAAAAGGTTGAAACACGATATGTGTATATTCACGCAGGTATGGACATGCACTGACCGTTCGGTCCAGTGTAAAATTGCCATGACGATTACAAAACAATTTGCCATTTTGGCCGCAGGTTGTCGTTGACCGCCCTACAATCTGTCAGGAGCCGACCCACATCCTTCAAACGTACTTGGTGAAATCCGCTTGGGCAAACTCGGCGCGGTTCCGTCCTCCGTTCATGCTTTCGTCCAGGGCAAAGCTCAAGAGCAACACATTGATCGACGTCTCGTACAGCTATAGTTGCCACACAATATAGCCAACAATACGTTCCACGTGACTTCACGCATGGCACGTACCGTCATAAACGTGTGGGCTATCGCGTACGAAACCAGCGCCACGACCACCATTGGCACCACTATCGACGACGGCGACGTCTTGTTGGCCATCAACGTCCATGCAACTGCCGTGGTGGCGCTGCAGATCAGAGTTTTGCCCTGCACGATCATCTGCCCATCACGTATGGAAAACAAGCCATGATAACGTACAAGCAACACACTGGCGTTTCCGATGCGGTTGATGGCCCCAATGCGCAGAATGCGCGACGTAATGAGTCCATGCGCGACTTTTGCGGCGCTGTAAAAGCTCGTGCCTTCGATCGCCGTGATAAAGTACGACTCCTTGCAAATAAACACGATGAACCGATTGAAGCACCAAATGCAGCACTACAAGAAGTGCGTAGGTCAGTGCGTCGGCACCTCCAACGAATTGAACGGCGTACACAGCACAGGGTCGAACAGAGCTGGCCAAACCAGTTGCCAGTCATATCTGCCTCTTTGTGGTCGTCGATATACATGAAAAAGTTGCGGATGTACCGCACGGGCGCGACAACCAACGCGCTGAACGCCGCTGTGCCAACATGGTACTTCACGATAGTTGTCATAGAGAATTGCACCGGATCGGCCACATCAAATGCTTTCGCCTTGGTTTGGCGGTCCGTCGGGGTGAAGTACCACACACCCACGGCCATGGCGACCGTCATATCGACAAGGGCGAGCAGCACCGACACGACCCAGTACATTCCAAATGCATGGTAGACAAAAAGCCACCGAAGGGTTGTGTTGCGCTGGAACGACCGCACGAGCACCGTGACTACGATGGAAGAGAGTTGACATGGAATGCAACCAATGCACGACGTCCACCTACCTGTGCCGCCCGACTCGACTGGAATGGCTTCTTCTACATCCACGGCAGTGCCCGCTGTGAAGAGGCAGACAGCGACCGACAGGCCCCACGCCAACACCGCCACCAGAGCGAAAGCGTACGCAAACGGGATCAACGCCATTTTGTTCATGTTTGAAAATACCCGCGTGCCATACACAAGGAATTTGCCCGCCAGCAGCAGCCCTACACGCGATTCTTTATATGACAAAACACCCACAAGGCCAAACAACTCGCGTACGTTGGACGAGCACGACGACGGCGAGGAAGTACGCCATGGCACCACACACAAGAAAGACGGCAACGATCAAGAGGATGTTCTGGGCATGTCTGTCCAAGCCGTCGTTGGTCGAAAGCGACCACACGTAGGCGGCCGCCACGACCAGTGCGACTTGAATCGACACGACGGAGAGACCCAAGATGAAGCACCCGCCAAAGCGGAGCAGGATCAAGTACACAATCGCAAAGCCGAGGCAAATTCCCGCCGAGTATAGCAGTGGTTCCCAGTTCTACAGCATCATTTGGAACCAGTTAGCACGTGAAACCATTGAAGGGCAGTACCTGTCGAATACCGCCGATGTACAGACCAAGCACGTCGTTGAGTTGAGAAGTGTCTGCAGAAACAGCGTCCAAAGCTTCCTTGGGCGCACACACATACCCTTGCTTGATGGTGTCGTACCCTGGGAACGAGACACTCTGGAACGTCGTGCTCATGGATGTCGTGGCGTTGGCAACGGCCGGTGGGACAGGGGACGCAATGACGTCGGAAACATTCACCCATGCCGCAGAAGACAGCACGGGCAGCGTGACGTCGACATTGATGCCTTGGATCGGGCACGAGGTCACACACACGCCAAAGTCCGGGTTCGTTTGATAGTGGGGGAAAAACACTGCACCGCTGGGACCACAGCCACGTCCACGAAAATCCACGCCTTCAGTCAAGTAAATCGCCTTTTCAGTCAAGCCGTCCTGGACGAAAGCCACGATGCCCAGCGCGACCATGCCCACCATGTACACGACAAAGAGTAGAAAGCACAGCATGTCAGTGCTGTAACGTTTACCCAACGGCCCTTTGAATTGTCGGCGAGTCAAACCGATGTCGACGTATGTGTCTTTGTTCGGCAAGAGCGGATCGCCTTCGCCGGAGCCAGTCCATGTTGTCGTTGCAGCGCGGGGAGTCGATTCGTTCAACCAAGACGGTTGCGATGGATCTCCGAAGCTTGACGTGTGGGCGCGACCGCCACCTTTTCGACCACGAGCACTAGGTGGAGGAGTCTCGCCTGTTGGACTGTTCATCCACGACGGCATACTGTTGGACGACGTCCGCTGCGCCCGCGTGAACATCGTGGACACCGTGAAAGCCGAAAAAGTGATGCTGGCGCTGTGAATTTGGGATAATTCTTTGATATTTCAATTTTAGTTATAATGCATAGTGCAATCTTCACCTCTTTTCCATGTTCAATCACCGTTTTCCTTTTACATTCAATATATTGTGAAAATAGATAACCAGATTTGACCGCTTCAAGTGGGGTACTATATGCAACGACGTTGCCCATACAAACCCCGACATGTTCTGGAAAGTCGACAAACGTCCGGATAAGAAAATGCCGGATAAGTATGCGTGGCGCGCTCCAAGCCGCGAAGAGTTCCGCGGCCGTCGTTGGCACAGCGCTAGTCAAGACAGATAGCCGACACGAGGACTTGAAAGCAGCAGCGGCAAGTGGGCGCGATGATTCGGACCGCCTATCTACAAATTGCAAGCCGCAACTGGCTGCTTGCCCACGAGCAACGTCGACGCAAGTGTTTTGGTCGAATAAATACAACATCACCCGACTGAAGCTAAACAGTCATGATAGTCTGGTCGATGGCTACACGATCCGTCGAGTTCATCGACGGCAGCGCTTCTTCGTCTGTAAATGGCCACAAGTAATAAAGTAAACTCGTCCAGAAGCTTGGGGTCGGCGGCGTCTTGGGCGATGGAAGCGGCACATCCAACTCGGTGGTCGCGCTCATGCTGCGGAACGTGATGCTTCGACCGCTGGTGGTACTTGAGTTGCTTCGATTGCTATGTGGCGGTTCGTCGTCCGTGGTAGCCGTCACCGTGACAACCAAGTCTTCGACTGTTGCGGTGTTGGCATTTCGGAGGTGGGCATTCGCCATCGCTTTTTCGTGCTGCAGAGTACGAATCTCTTGCTTCAAGTCCTACAAATAATCTCGTGAGCCCGCTGGTCATGAAAGAGGTCGAGGGTTTGCGCTTCGTGCCTCGACAAGGGCATTGTGTCGGCGAATGTGGGTCTTAAGTTCCATCATGATTTCTTCCTGGGCAACGATGTGCTGTTCCGCATCCTGTAAATGGCGCTCAACCACCTGCTTCTCCTCTCGAAGCTTTCGAATGAACTCGAGCACGACTTCCTGTTCTCGGAGCAGTTGGCGGTCGTGAGACTCGGTGACTAGACCGTCGATCGTATGCTTGAGCTCTTCAATTAACGCTTGCTTTTCCTCCAACAGTACGGACGTATGATCTCCACGAAATTGAGTATCGGTTTGCTTTTCCGTATTGGATCGGGGAGGCGATGGCAGCACGGGCTCCACCACGTTCGACGAAGTCGCTTCCGCGAAGTTCTGCTCGATGTCATGGCGAAGACAAGCGTCGACGGATGGGCTAGACAAAGCCGACGCGGGCTGGAGGCGAGCTTTAGCTATGATCTGCATGATATCATTGCTGCTCGAAACTTCGACGGCTGTCTTGTCCTTAAAGTACCCAGAAGTCCCCACAATCGACAGGTCGGCGCCACGGTCCACCAGTAGCTGAACGCATGCTGCATGGTTGCCATAGCACGCATCATGCAGCGCAGTGGCGCCATCAGCATTGCGTCGGTTAATCAGAACAGCTCGTTGGTTCTCGTCCGTGACGTGATCGAGCAGGAGGACTGCGACGTCGACTGCATTGCTGCAGGCAGCCCAATGAAGCAGTGAATTCTCCAGAGGGGAGCCGTCAGTGGCGGTGATGGGGTCAGCACCAGCACGAATAATTGACGCAACACTTTCTACGTTGTTCGCCGCGACTTCTTGAATGGCGAATTGGAGGAACACTTGCAAAATGGAGCGAGCTGGTGCTTGGTTCGCCGCCAACGCGAAGGCTGTTAAACCTGCGTACTTTGGGTTCGCCGAGCCAATTACTTGAGCATCGGCAGGGAAGCCAGCAGCTAGCAACGTGCGTACAGCGTCAGCTTTTTGAAAAATCACGGCAACGTGAAGTGGTGTGAGGCCAGCAGCATTTCGAATCTGTGGAAGATCCAAAACATCCTTTCCATGTTCGAGGAGTGCCTTCAGCACATCAGCTCGCCCGTGTTCAGCGGCCATGAAAAGGCCATCGTAGGCAGCTTCCAGATCTTCAGACGCCGCCATCCCCGATTACTCGACACTTGGCTGCGGAAAGGGCCTGCGACTTGCGAGTTCGCTCAGTTACACGTGTCTTGTCCGGATAAAATATCCGTATTTCAGGAAGATTGCACTGACTGTGAGTCCAATTCGTCGTCCTCGAAATGGGGCGGCAGTGGATCAGTGCCCACGCTTCATGGGGAAGGTAGATCAGACCTATGTGGCAGCGACGAGATGGACCGATGTTGCCGACGATAAACAATCGAGCATTTGTTCACTGATTCGTCATTTCGTTGCAAAGGGTGTGATGCACCTGATGGTCGGTGTTTGATGAGAGACTTTAGACCAGACACAAGTTAACTAATTCAACGTGTATGTACAACCTTTGGGGCTGTGTAAATCGTCTGGTTAGCACATCATAGTGAACAAACTAGGCACCAAGAGGACCACGAAGTCAAAGTATCGTCGGTGGCGAGTGGGGAGGCGGCTGTCGCTCTCGAACGTGCTAGTCTGCGAGCTGTCAACCCAAGCCTGACCTCGTCAACCATGTGGTCTCCTGATGGAAGGACACTTGAGACACCACGCCCTCGTTAACCAAGCGGCACGCCACCACCTCTACGGCCTCGTAAATCTCGCCGCTGCCCCAGATTCTCCGCCACCGCGCGACTGATCGACCTACGGTGGCGGTGGCACTTGACTCATGCTCTTCAAGTTATGCCGGCCCCAATCGTATCCGTTGAAACAAAACCGACGAAAATATCGAAAAAAGAAGGATTTTCCTCGGTTCGACGACTGGTACGAGTCTTTGATTGGTGGAAATAGCCTATTTTTTCGAAACACTTGGTAATTTTAGCCAATCAAACCATTGTATTAACCTCCGAAGCGACGCACTGGAACCGTCGCCCCGACCCAAAAACTCAATATCCAAGCCCATTTCGTTTTTTCCGTGCCTTTTTGCTCCTGGCGCCCGTGTACGCACCGCGATCTTTGGCCTAACGAGAAGCGAAAGAACATGGCAGACGCAGAAGGCGTACAACAAGAGCTACAGGACTATCTGCAGAAGAAGGGTATCAACACCCTCTTCATCAACATCGTCGAGTCACTGCTCCTCTCCAAGCCTGAAAACCCCGTTCAACACATCATCGAGTACCTCAAGACCAACTTCCCGGAGCAAGCTACATCCAGAAAACCCGACGCACCTCCCATCGCGACTGGACGTACGTCAACCATCCTGAGTCCGGTTTTTCAACATGTCATATTGCTCGTCGAGCATAGATCATTCGGATGAATCGGAGAGCGAAGACGAACCAGATGAAGATTCAATCGGTGAAATGCAGCCCACGACCCAACCTGTGAGGCCGTTTGGCAAAGGTCGACGGACATCAGTGTCCGCCGAAACGTTGGACCCTGAAAGCGCCAAACCGTTGGAGGCCGTGAGCCATCCGAAGTCACAGGAGGAACGAAAGCGCATTTCAGACATTTTGGCGGACAACATTCTGTTCAAGTCCCTAGATGAAAAGCAATCCAAGGTCAGTTCTCTTGAAAGTTTCCTTTCTTATCCCGGTGGAACTCATCATGTTGTCGCGTGTAGATTCTGTTGGATGCGTTTTTCCCCAAAGAATTCGACATCGGCGAGACGATCATCAAGCAAGGCGATGATGGTGACAACTTTTACATATTGGACACGGGCGTGTGCGAAGTGTACAAAGACGAAAACCTCGTGTTGACGTGCACGGAGGCCATGTCGTTTGGTGAATTGGCGCTAATGTATAACGCCCCGCGCGCGGCCACAGTCAAAGTCAAGGAAAAGTCCAAGGTGTGGGCGCTCGATCGCCAAACGTTCAAGTACATCATTATGGAAACGACGATGAAGAAGCGCGACACGTACAAAGGGTTCATTGAAAAGGTGCCGCTGCTGGAGAGTCTCAGCGAGTACGAACGGCTCACCGTGGCCGATGCTCTGCGTGTTGCCACCTTCGCCGACGGCGAAGTGATCATCCGTCAAGGCGACGATGGCAACTTGTTTTACATTTTGTCTGAAGGCACGGCAGTGTGCACGAAGCAGCTCTCGCCCAACGAACCGATCCAGGAGATCGGGGTGCTGTCGCAAGGCGCGTACTTTGGCGAAATTGCGCTGTTGACGACGCGTCCACGACAAGCAACTGTGACGGCCAAGGGCGAAGTCAAGTGCTTGACCCTCGATCGAAAGACGTTCAAGCGCGTGATGGGCCCGTTGGAGAACATTTTGAAGCGCAACCTGGCCCAGTACAACCTCGTCATGGCGAACACCATCTAAGCTTCATCGACGACGCGCAAGCGACTACAGATATATTCGACACCTACGAAATTGTTTTATATACTTATACAATCATGAAACGACGTGTGTCGCGTGTGCAAGGAGCCGCGCCTCGTAGGGAATGTCGAGTCGGTCATTTGAGAACGGATACGCCCACTATGGCCCCGACGGTGACTGTCGTCGCCTTAACGAACGTGCTGGGATCTGCGAGCGAACTGAGCTTCCATCACCTACCTCCGGTGTTGAAGCATCGTGCAAATTGCTAGATAGATGATCTCCGATTTGGTCGCGCCAGGGCCGACGAGAGTATCTGGTCGTTGGCGCAAGCAAGTGGCAATGTCATTTCAATGCTGATGAGTGTTTCAATTATGAAATCTGCTACATCATGAATAAAAGGCACGGAATCAACGTGGCAATTGCAACTACTCCTTTTGATACCGCAATCGTCGAGTCGCCATTGGCAGTCGGCGTGGTCGATGTCGAGTCTGTCGAGTTGGACTTAGCAGGTCTCGTCAACGTTTCACACTGCAGGCCTTCGTAACCCACGTTGCACAGGCACTTGCCGTCAATCCCACAATTCCCTCGGTTCGAACACACTAAGTCGGCCTGGGCGGTTGCGTCGCACAACGAGCATTGGTTGCCTCGTGCGCCGGGCTTGCACACGCACTGGCCCGTTTTCGGATCGCACGCGCCATTGCTACCGCATTGACCAAACCCGTCGCAGACGTTCCCAATGGCGACAAAGCAGTTGTCGTCGGAGCTGTAGCCAGCGTTGCAAATGCAGCCGTACTCGCCGCTCAACGATGACTTGGGGGCGCATGTCCCGTGGGAGTTACACAGCCCAAGATTGACTCGGACGCCGTTGTTGTCGGTCGTGACGTTGCCGGCGCACGCCTTTAAGTGCTTCTCGGTCAGATCAAGAAACCCTAGGCTCTTGTCGCGATACAGTTTTTGATCCACACACTTGTAGATGCCATTGACCTTTTTAGTCAACGTGCCACTGACAAAGGTTGCTTCAAAGCACGTGACCGTCTTGTTCTTGTTGGCCTCGACCACAGATGTTCCATCAGCATTCAGAGCGTTTTCGCAGTTGGGCACTTCAGCAAAGGCACAAATTGGCTGGACGACGCGGGTGCTGGCTGGCCAACTGGTGAAGGTCGGGCACTTGCCGTTCACGTTCCCCCCGCATGCTTGCCCCCGGACACATTGCGACAACAGGGTCATACCCGGAATGTTCGACTCCACCGAGACGCAGGAATATCCCGTTCCGTACTTGTCGCAATCGGCTGAAGCCCCAGTCCCCTTGCAAATGCCGGGGCGAGTCACGAGCACAGCAGGCGCTGTCGTTTCATCTTGTGCCACGATAGCGGCCGGTCCACCCACGAGAAGCAATGCTAGAATTGGACGGTACATGGCAGCCAACACGACCTTGTCTGCGACGTTAGAGGTAGATAGAAAAATGACGCATAACCTTCGTTTGGAACATGCGACTGATGCCACATGACCACCCACCACACTGTGTCGCACGGGGAAGCGGTGTCGGTTCGGAAGTATCGCAGGTGCCCTTTCGATTTTTCTCCAATGAAAATGCTTCAAGATGGATTAATGAGCCAGGATTGGTGGAATAGTTTTCGAGGTTCTTTGAAACATCCAATCAAAATACAATTCATAGGTTGGCATCTTTTGTGACAATGCACAGAACGGCAGCCCTGCCTAAGCCTCGGCAAGGTAGGGCAAGGTAAACGTTTTACCCGGTAAAACGGTAAACGATAGGGATAATGGTGTTGTTCCAAGTTAGGTTAAGGAACGGTCCCCGTCGAAGTTACCCGGTAAAAAGTATCTACCGGGTAATCGCCATACGTAAGAAGTGTAGTAAGACATGTAAGTCAATGGTGTTGTCCGTGGCAACAGCCCGCAAAATTTGGATTCCAACATCCAGAGTACGGAGAACGGAGCGGCATCGCGGCTACGCTATTCACAGTCCCCAACAACAACGAACCGTCTTTTTTGCATAGAATGTGTAAATGAGATCGTATATATAAGGGGAATTGTTTGCTGGACCAGTCGTAACATGACCCGCATAACTGTATAATTAGATACTTTCGAAATACAATGACTTTCCTGATATCCACCTTAAGGTAATGCATCGAATTCTCAGACACTTTTTGGCGACAAGGTGGCATTGATTTCGAAGGAGCATTTTTTCAGGTAATATTGAGAGTCCAAAAAATCCGATGATACATTCAGACTATAATTCCTGAACTTTTTTTCATGCCTCGAACGTTATGAAAGCAAGACACTCGTGATCTGCAGGAAAAATATTACAACAGACTAAAGTTTCAAGTGAGAATTCCAAGGAAACCGAATTCTCGGAAAGTCAATTTACTTCAATTTTGTATGTATGTAAAAAAATTGAAAAATATTAAGAAATATAAAGAACCATATTAATATTCACAAACACACAATGGTATTAAATTTCATGCATTTTTATTGCAGACGAACAAAAGTTTATTTTTTAGTTTCGATGCTTTGCAACAGAGACAGCGTGAAGTGCATCACGCGTATGCCACACAAGCTCCGTTTGGAATCGCTTTCGTCCTTTCTTCTTCGGAGGTAACGTAAGCAATCGTCATGGACATGCAATCTCGTCTTTAACCACGGTGCAATCACGATGTCATCTCTCACAGAGTTTGTCTGTGCCAACGCCAGGCGACGAAACATCCTGGGCAACGACAACAGCCAGATTCCACTAGTCAGAAAACCGTTCACCACCGACGTGTTCTTGCCTTTCACACCCTCGACAGAGGGAAGACAGAGTTGAAGGATTCGCCAGCGATCTGTATGGCAGCCTGACGAAGCAAGGTTGTGACATTGAGCGATTGAAGTCGATGGGTCACAACGCAGGCAATAGTTCTCTTGAACGGGCGAAACAAGGCGACGTCAAGAGGCTGCAGCAAATCCGCATTGGGGGGAAGATGAACAAGGTGAATACAATATGTCATGCAGGTTGGGATACTGCTCTCTGACACATGTGATGAGCAGTTGTCCAGGACCAACACAGCAGGTCTTGCATCTCGAGTACGCAATGTCCACTCTCCGAAGCATTCGAGCCAACTGTCGAATAAGTCCGAGATCATGAAACCCTTGGGGACAGACAGCAGAAACCATAGCTTCAGGTACGGGACATGCGTCCAAAACATCTCTGGAGCAACTTTTGCCTGGCAGGATGAACGCAGGCGGAACAGGTGTCCCATCGGCAGCGACAGCAGCAACAATCGTGAGGTGGTACTTCGATCGCCTCGCTATACGTTCTTGGATCCTCGAACAGCAATAACCTTGCGTGGGCTGCCTTTTGGCTTGACTCATCAACTTGTAGACATCGCCGGCAGTGCAGTTGAACCCAAGGCATCCCTTGACCAGCTCAAAACAGTGCCGCGTGATTCTGTCCTTTGTGACGGCATTCCTTGCGTGGATTAGCTTTTGGGCAACTCGACTCGTCAACACCTCATGGCGACCCTCAAAGCCGGCGTACCAACCTCGTCCAAGTGAGCAGGGGATGCCAGCATGTACAGATACGATTTGGCTTGCCTTCATGATGATTTCATAGCGTTCTACGGGCCAACTACTGCGCTGGATTGCAATGATACACTGCACCAGGTCGTCTTCCACTCCGGCAGGCATGAATGGTTTTGCCCCACGTTTTATAATTGCATTGGAACCAGTCTGCTTCTTCATCTTGGTGTATTTGTATAACGTGGAACTCTTTCATGGGGAACTGCTCGTTACAGCAGCCACCGACTCTCCATTTTCAAACCGCTGGAGAGCCGCCATAATGTCGTCGAGTGTCGCAGGTATTGTTGAAATGTCTTTTGGCGATAACTCTGTCAATATTTTGCACTAAAAATGGCGGGAATCGATGGGGCCAATCAAGGCCGTCATTTTGAGCTAAACTTGAGGGAAAACGAAGCAGAATTGACGAAGTTAGAGCAAAAATACTGAGTGGTTGTGGGCAAGTGTGTTTTATTGTCAGTTGTCATTTTATTTTGAATGAAATTGGTTCGGTCTCCTTGAAGGGGTGAAAAATATCATGACCAATAGATTTGTTTCAGCCTGAATTGATGGTGATTCATTGGCTAAAATGGAAGTGTCCGAGAATTCAATGTCTTCCGAGAATTCGATGCATTACCTTAGCATGACAGAGTCAGAGTCAATATTTATCGTGGTTACCAAAACCCTCTAAAAATTAACAGTAAAGAGAAATCGGTTTGGTATCATATTATAAAGATTTTTTGGAACTTCACCGAATGTAATCCTCTACAAACACATAGCCTGCAGTTGACGATAAGAATCGATTACACTGGTGAGGTTTCATTCAAAGCTACTCTTACGACATGAACAACGCAGGAGTGCTTCGACTTTGTGAAGCAAGCTCGGTACTATTGCATGACACGTGAAGTGTGCCTGGACATCTTGCGGGTGCATGCTTACTTCAAAACCGAGGGCCATACCATGTCAAAAAGATAGCTGCCGGTCTCGGCCTCACTCTACATGTGGTAAAGGAGGTAATGCGTGAGTATATGAAGTAAAGCAGGGTTACCGCTGCTACACCTGCTGCAAACTGGACAAACCATAAGCACCGCATACCATACACTCACGATGTAATCGACCATGTTAAGAATTCGTGCGAGACCAACTTGCCTCCGTGCACGCACTACTGCCGTTGATGTATTGGTCTTTGTTTGCGAATAAGACGTGATCACAGTGGACTTACAAACAAGACTCAATAAGAATCGGGTTTGCGATCCGTCCAGTAGATTGGACTCGTTAGAGCTCAAGCATGGAAGTCGTTCCGGGTCTTCCACGTACATACCACCTCTGCAAGGAGAACGAGCTAGCACGCGACAAGTACGTTGCCAAGATGCACCTTGCCTCCCTCCCCGGGTCCAAGCAGTGTGTCGTGCACACTGCTGAGTCGTACATTCACCACCACTACAAGCGTCACAATGACAGTCTTTACTATCCCAACGATGTGAAGGGCATTCCAACGAAATAGAAGGACTAGTGGCGGCGGTATTGTTTTATTGCCAACGTACTTAACGCACCATGCATGGACTTCAAGTTGCTGGGCCTAGACATCCGGAGGGACAGCCAAGGCTAAGGAGTCCAAAGGGCAGGGGATAGTCGCCCACACTATCGCAGTAGGCGTAGGAGTTGTGAAGGCCGTGCAGGAATGCAACGTCGGCCAAATCCATGTTTGAAAAACCGGCCCAAATAGTGACACTTCTCCCACCGTTTTGACGGCTAAAAGGGGCTGTTCGTCCTTCCGAAGGTCGTGCCAGTAGAATTAAAAGTCGTGTGATCCGTCTAGGTTAAATTTCTTCTCGTCAGAGAAGATGACATGGCTCCGACCAAGGCCAAGGTCAACATGCGAGTTTGCCTACTCGACGCGTGTGTCATTGTGCCGCCGCAAAAGGCGAGCATTTCGCTTCTTGCACTTGAGGTTGAAGCAGAAAGTACGGTGAATCGTACGCGCAGAAACAATACGATTAACGTCATATTTAATCATACTTGAGCTCGATTTTCCTTCAGAGGCGACGTGCAGGATTCGACGGCGCTCGCGTATGTCCAATTTTGAATTGCTTCCAGGTCGTTATGGAGCAGTTTACGTATTGGCGGACTTTGAGAATCTCCATAAAGTCCCCTTCGACACAAAAAACTCTCTGGATATGCGTCGGATCATCCATTAGGTCTTGTGAAAGGCCAAGATCGATCCTTGCTGCTCAAGTGTAAGAAGGACACATTCAGGTATATACTTTACCTCATTTGTCATGTGTGAATAAATGTGACGAATCATGTGACCTCATTGACGATAAACCTCCATAAATTTATACAATGACAAAAACAGAATTCTCTAAACAAAAAGGTTATTATTTTGCACAGTATTTCTGAACTAATCACTCCTTTCGATGTTAAACCATTGCAAAAGTTTTGATACAGATGATTAATTGTGAGAGTACATTAAGCTTTAAAGATAAACTGTGCTCACACGTCATTTCACATACGTCAAAAGACAGAAAGTATTTAGCTCACTCTTCAATTTGCCTCGTCAAGATCATCCGGATATTATCCGGATAACTGGTTCCGACGACAGCAACCTCACTGCCTTAAGTTCATGGGTTCTGCCGACGTCGTGCCCGATGGGGAGCAGTGTCAAATGGACCGCGCGCAGTAGTCATGGGACCGCCTCGGCCTCGCCCACTGATTTGCTGCACCGGATACCGGCACTCGACTCTCTCCATGGGTGTGCAAGGCGTCGCGCGTGTGAACGCGAACAAAGGGAATGCAATTTTGATGACAAGCAACAGGTTAGATGCATCACATATCTCCATCTCAAACTCGTTCACTAATGTAGTGTCTAGGCAGCTATTCAATGTCGGCGCCAACATCGATGT